TGATATCACTTATACTGCGTCGAAGGGAAATGCTGTCTTCTCGATCTCTCAGTGGCACATTTCCCCCAGATGCTGCACGAGATCGACTCTTCTGTAACCTGCGAGCTTGAGCATTGATACCTGTTAATCAAAATAAAAGTAATTGAGAAAATGTCTCAACTCTTAAAAGCCTACATATAAATGAAGATTATTTTTATTTTATTGTTTTTTAGATGTATATTTTTTTAAATTGTAAATGTCACGTTATAAACATGTTAAATATTAGTAGGTTAATAAAATATTGAAGCAGATGCTATTGTTCTTCAATCAGTGAAAATAATTATGTATATAAATAGCCAGGGATGATCCAAAGCATTGTGCTGCCCGAGTCCAGCAAGATGATACCACACCATAGCTATGTCTGCTTTTTCTCCACTTGTGTCTATGTCCCCTTGTCCCACTTTTGTATATGCCTAAACGCTGTTTAGATGATATTCCCCTTCCAGATACACAGGCAGCTACCAAAGACACCAATCCGCCGAATAGGAAACCATATGAATGCCGTAAACAGCCGAACCGGAACCATACGAATGCTGTAAACAGCCGCATAAGAAAAACCATACGAATAGGGATACACTCCTAGCAGTCAAACTGGAACAGCATACAATAAATCCCCCCAAGAACGAGACAAAGCTCCGTGTTGAGAGTCAAGCAGTGAACAGCTGGAGCTGTGGCTTTATTGTTCTTATATACACATTCTTACACATTAGTACGACCTACAGGGTTTTGTAAAACAACCAATAAACACGTACAATACACTCAGACACTCCCACACAAAATCATCCCCTCTGCCTGTGATTCAATTACCTTATATAATGGGTTAATGTAATTATCACAGGCAGAGAAATACAGTTTTTCCACATTATTCATAACTTTAAAAGTATATTTCACATATGTCAAAATCATCCAAATTGGTCCAGTGGTTCAAAAGATAGATCGAAGTCCTTCGTGACCAAATGAAGCATGGCTTTTCTGCCCAAAACCAGTTCCACAGAGTCTTCTATCCTGGAGATAATTGGGACGTAATCCAATTATCTCCAAGGACAGAGGCAAAACTCCATTGAACACATGGTAGCAAAAGACAATAAAATACATAAAAATAAATAACTGTGCAGCTATTGCATAAAACAGGTACATTCAGATAGCTTAGATCTGAGCGCACATTACTGAATGGTGCTCAGATCACATACATACAGTTCAATTGCCATGGAGCCAAAGTCTTTCACATAGTCTTTCGTTATACGAATGGGCTCCATGGCATAGCTATCTGGAGTATCACTGTTCAAATAGGGCAAGTACCGAATGACCCGGCTTTCATGTCTCTGCAGGGGAAAATCATGCGTTTCAACATGGGGCCATAGTCTAAAGGCAGCATGCGGGAAACCAGGCTCCTCCAATGCACAGTGGCGAGATTGGTCTCGCCACACCTTCTTCTTGGGGCTCGTTCCCATTGTCTCCTCTCTATGTCTGTCCTACAGAACCTGTCTGGCCCCTGATTACAAATGTTGAGATAGTTGCTTCCAGTAAAGACAGGAAGTAAACCTGCATATGCAATGTCCCATGTTTACTGGCCTACTGGTCTCTAAGGTCTGCCTCAGTCCCCATCACACCAGATGATGGCAGGGCTGGATATAGCCAATCTCAGGCCATTAAGGACCTAAAGAGAGAATATAGTATGTAAAATATGCTCTCTTTATGTTCTTGGTGAGACGAGGGCACCAATATCATTCTGTCCGCTAAAGAGACTATAGAACTCATCTCCTACTACTAGTCCATGAGATACCTCTACCAGGGCATCTGAGAAACACATCGACAAGGCTCAATCAGACTTTTTACTGGCCAGGGTAACACTACCAGCCAGTAGTTAATGAAAGGTTCCGCAGCAAATGCTCCCCTTGGTCCCTATGTAAGATTGTTCAACCTTTCCACGGTATAGCAGTGGACACTGTAGAAACCCAGTGTGGACTGAGTACAACTAATAAGCAGTATATTCTTACTGTGTTTTTACTGTCGTCCTCTCTAAAATAGATTTCAATACTAGTGGAGTTCCAGAAGAGGAGCACCAGTGCAAATGCTCCCACCCTGAACTTCCCAGTATAAAGCAGGAACCCAAGCATTTTAATTAATCTTTGTTTCACTTTATTTCTTGAGCAGATCCAGTGTATAGGAGTTAGATATGATATAGTGGAGCGCCATGGGAAAAAAAAAACTGCTATGTTTATGGATGGGTTAAGCCTTCCCCTATTTCCTCTAATGGCTGTCTCATTGACAGCCGCTAGAGGCGCTTGCGTGCTTCTCACTGTGAAAATCACAGTGAGAGCACGCAAGCGTCCATAGGAAAGCATTGATAATGCTTTCCTATGTGACCGGCTGAATGCGCGCGCAGCTCTTGCCGCGCGTGCGCATTCAGCCGACGGGGCGGATCGGAGGAGGAGAGGAGGCAGAGAGCTCCAGGCCCAGCGCTGGAAAAAGGTAAGTTTTTACCCCTTTCCCCCTTCCAGAGCCGGGCGGGAGGGGGACCCTGAGGGTGGGGGCACCCTCAGGGCACTATAGTGCCAGGAAAACAAGTATGTTTTCCTGGCACTATAGTGGTCCTTTAAAAACTTTAAGAACATGCAAGTATCATTGGGATTTAAATATAGCAAAAGTGGAAGGAACTATGGTAACCTGCTTAAACAGTGAGATGTTCCAATTTTAAAAGTATTTTAATTAACCAATCTTAAATGTATTAGCAATTCAGAGTAAATATTTTATACTTAAGGTATTTTAAATTTATGCAAAGTGGACTTTGAGTCTGCAAGTATCACGTACTGATTGAGCCCCTTTAATAACATACAAGTCTGTGCGTACCATTGGGATTTAAATATAGCACAGGTGGAGTAACTATAGCAACTTGCTTAAACAATGGGATGTTATTATTTAAAAAAAGTCTTTTTAGCAACCAATTTAACACTGAACAAAATTATAAATGCAACACTTTTGTTTTTGCCCCCATTTTGCATGAGCTGAACTCAATGATCTAAGACTTTTTCTGTGTACACAAAAGGCCTATTTCTCTCAAATTTATTTATTTATAAAGTATTTTACCAGGAAAGATACATTGAGATTTCTCTCATTTTAAAGTATGTCCCGGGTATATATGTAGAATATTGCATATTCTATGTTTCTATTGATTATATATGGAGGACATGTTTCTCTCTACCTGGTGATAATTAGGTTCTCTCCAACCACTTAAGTTAATGATCTCCAAGATAGAGAGGAGGGGTTGCACTGTTACTGTGGGTGTGTTTAATAATTGTACTGTAAACTGATTGGTTCTGTATTTTGTGTCACAGTTTTCCACAAGGTCCCCTGTGGGAGTTTCCTTGCTAGGAGACCATCATAAAAGGCTGAGTGTGGCCAGAATTAAAGCAGATCGTTTTACTCCTCCATAAAGTCTTGACTCATGTTTGGGGAAATGGGAGCTGTAATCACTACTTTGCTATTATTTTGCTGGGATTTCGGGAGAAGCTGCAGGGATCGGTCCTACAGGGATAACAGGATCCTTTACAGAGAGGGTCTGGGGGGGGCGAAAACCAGTCAGTATCTAGTGTAACCACCATTTGCCTAACACAGTGCAACACATCTCGCATAGAGTTGATCAGGATGTTGATGGAGACCTGTAGAATGTTGGTCCACTCCTCTTAAATGGCTATGCGAAGTTGCTGGATATTGGCAGGACCTGAAACACGCTGTCATATACACCAATCCAGAGCATCCCAAACATGCTCAATGGGTGACATGCCCGGTGAGTATGCTGGCCATACAAGAACTGTGATGTTTTCAGCTTCCAGGAATTGTGTACAGATCCTTGCAACATGGGGCCGTGCATTATCATGCTGCAACATGATAATCGTGGATGAATGGCACAAAAATGGATTCAAAATGCCATCAATAAAATGCACTACTGTTCATTGTCCATAACATATGCCTGCCCTTACCATAACCCCACCGCCACCATGGGCCACTCGATCCACAACGTTGACAACAGCAAACCACTCACCCACACAATGCCATACACACTGTCTGCCATCTGCCCTGTACAGTGAAAACCGGGATTCATTCGTGAACACCCCTACAAAGTGCCAGACGTTATTTATGTGAGCATTTGCCCACTCAAGTCGGTTACGATTACGAACTGCAGTCAGGTCGAGACCCTGATAAGGATGACAAGCATGCAGGTAAGCTTTCCTGAGACGGCTTCTGACAGTTTGTTCAAAAATTCTTTGGTTAGGCAAACTGATTGTTGCAGCAGTTGTCCGGGTGGCTGGTCTCAGACTATCTTGGAGGAGAAGATGCTGGATGTGGAGGTTTTGGGCTGGTGTGGTTACCAGGGCCGCTGCAAGGATTTTTGACTATACAGGTGAAGATGCATTTTGCCGCCCTCCCTCCCCCCTCCAAAAAAATGCATCTTCACCTGTGTGTTTCGTAGAATTTCTTACCCTCATTAGTGTTTCATATCCCCTCTGTTGAATGTCTTACCCCCTATGCTCCTTTGTGCCTTACAACCCCCTTTAGTGTGTCTCTTACAAACCATCTCATGTATTTCTTACTTCTCTGCCAGCCCCGTTGTGTCTTTCCCCCCAGCCCCTATCTATCTTTCTCCCATATATAGACATAGATACAGGCAAAAATACATCTATGCACAGATATACAAACATACAGACACACAATCATACAAGCACACAGACATTGTTATTCAGGCACACAGTCAAAAAAATATACAGACAGTCATAAAAGGCACACAATTAAACAAACACAGTCATAAATCTACACATACAGGTACACTGTCATACAAATACAGACATACATTCATACAGACAGGCACACAGAGAAATACAGTCACAGACATAAAGAGACATACAGATAGGCATACAGAGACATATATACACAGTGATAGAGAGCCATACATACACAGACAGTCATACAGAGACATACATACACAGACAGTCATACAGAGACATACATACTGACTGTATGTCTCTGTATGACTGTCTGCGTTTGTATGTCTGTGTATGTACACAGCGTTGCTAAAAGATCCCCATCTGGAGTGCACCTTCAACAATGCTTTGAAAGCTGGGGCTCTACCAATTCCCCATGCTTGCAGGATTATATTTAGCACTGAGCAATATTTGTGTGTTTGAATGTTAGCATGGTTTTGTATGGAGTATGTTTGTGTGAATGTAGGGGTGTATTTGTATCTAGTGTTTGCGTTCGAATACAAGAATGCATTTATGTGTAGTGTTGGTTTTTGAATGCAGGGGTGTGTTTATATATAATTTTGGTGTCTAATACAGAGGTGTGTTTGTATGAAGTGTTGACATTTGCATGCAGGGGTCTATTTGTGTGTAGTGTTGGCGTTTGAATGCTGAGATGTATGCACATACACTGCCACACACACACTCTGATACACATAAACGAAGATAGACACACTGACACACATGCAGATACAAATATACAGAAACTGATACACATTCAGATAGACAGATGCACATATATAAATGCAGACACACAGATAACACTGACAGACATACAGATATATACACACAATGACACATACACATACAGTGCCTTGCAAATGTATTCACCCCCCTTGACTTTTTACCTATTTTGTTACATTACAGCCTTAAGTTCAATATTTTATTAATCTGAATTGTATGTAATGGATCAGAACAATATAGTCTAAGTTGGTGAAGTGAAATGAGAACAATATATACTTAAAACTATTTTTTAGAAATAAAAAACAGAAAATTGGCATATTCACCCCCTTTGTTATGAAGCCCATAAAAAGGTCTGGTGCAACCAATTACCTTCAGAAGTCACATAATCAGTGAAATGATGTCCACCCGTGTGCAATCTAAGTGTCACATGATCTGTCATTACATATACACACCTTTTTTGAAAGGCCTCAGAGGCTGCAACACCTAAGCAAGTGGCACCACTAACCAAACACTGCCATGAAGACCAAGAAACTCTCCAAACAAGTAAGGGACAATGTTGTTGATAAGTACAAGCCAGGGTTAGATTATAAAATAATATCCAAATTGTTGATGATTCCCAGGAGCACCATCAAATCTATCATAACCAAACGGAGAGAACATGACACAACAGCAAACCTGTCAAGATATGGCCGCCCACCAAAACTCATGGACTGGGCAAGGAGGGCATTAATCAAAGAGGCAGCACAGAGACCTAAGGTAACCCTGGAGGAGTTGCAGAGTTCCACAGCTGAGACTGGAGTATCTGTACATATGACGACAATAAGCCGTACACTCCATAGAGTAAGGCTTTTTGGCAGAAAGCCATTACTTTCAGCAAAAAACAAAATGGCACGTTTTGAGTTTGCGAAAAGGCATGTAAGGAGGAAGGTACTCTGGTCTGATGAGACTAAAATTATTTTAGTCATCAAAGAAAACGCTATGTCTGGTGCAAACCCAACACATCACATCACACAAAGAACACCATCCCCAAAGTGAAACATGGTGGTGGCAGCATCATGCTGTGGGGATGTTTTTCAGCAGCCGGGACTGGAAAACTGGTCAGAGTTGAGGGAAAGATGCTCAATACAGGGATATTCTTGAGCAAAACCTGTACCACTCTGTGCATGAGTTGAGGCTAGGATGGAGGTTCACCTTCCAGCAGGACAATGAGCCCAAACACACTGCAAAAGCAACACTTGAGTTGTTTAATGGGAAACATGTAAATGTGAGTCCTAGTCAAAGCCCAGACCTCAATCCAATAGAAAATCTGTGGTCAGACAAAGATTGCTGTTCACAAGCGCAAACCATCCAACCTAAAGAAGCTGGAGCAGTTTTGCAAGGAGGAATGGGCAGAAATTCCAGTGGTAAGATGTGGCAAGCTCATAGAGACTTCTCCAAAGTGACTTGGAGCTGTGATTGCAGCAAAAGGTGAATAGTTATGCACATTGACTTTTCTGTTATTTTGTCCTATTTGTTGTTTGCTTCAAAATAAAAAAATTTTTAAAAAAAATCATCTTCAAAGTTGTGGGCATGTTCTGTAAATTAAATGAGGCAAATCCTCAAACAATCCATGTTAATTCCAGGTTGTGAGGCAACAAAACACAAAAAATGCCAAGGCGGGTGAATACTTTTGCAAGGCACTGTACATATTGACAGACATACAGGTACACACATACATATTGACACACATACAAACACTCACACACACACTGACAGACACACACAGACATACATACAGACATGCTGACAGATACACCGACACATACACCAATGCCGGTCAAAATATACACTTTTCTAGCCACCCTCCTGTTTCCTACCTTGTGTGTTCAGGATGGTGGCTTACCTGGGATCCAGAATGCTGCCTGAGGTAGTTGTGAGTTGGAAGAGCTGTCCCTGTCCAGCCCAGCCCCCCTGCTCTCTGCTTTCTCCTATTTTTGCACTCCAGTCTTCTTGGGAGGAAGTCCTCCCATGCAGATGAGAAAGGGCCCGGCAGTAGCTCTGCCCTTGCTGGCCGCCAGCTGCACTGTGTGCTACAGGGGGAGCAGAGATATGACGTGTACATATTGCCGCCCCTCCACACGGTCCACGGCACTGCAGAAAGGAAGGCAAGCTGTAAGGGTTTGCTGGCACTCGGCCATGCTACGAGAAGTGACCGGCAGGAGAGGGATGCTGTGCGCTTCCCTCCTGCTGGCCACCCGGACATTTGCGCCCCTGTACCTGTGCGCCCTCAGGCAGCCGCCTGTGCTGCCTCATGGACGTACCGGTCCTGGTGGTTACACATGGTCTGCGGTTTTGAGGCCGGTTGGATGTACTGAGAAATTCTCTGAAATGCCTTTGGAGATGGCTTATGGTCGAGAAATTAACATTCAATTTACGGGCAACAGCTCTGGTGGACATTGCTGCAGTCAGAATGTAGATTGCAAGCTCCCTCAAAACTTGCGACATCTGTGGCATTGTGCTGTGTGATAAAACTGCACATTTTAGAGTGGCCTTTTATTGTGGCCAGCTTAAGGCACACCTTTGCAATAATCATGCTGTCTAATCAGCAACTTGATATGCCACACCTTTAAGATGGATGAATTTTCTCGGCAAAGGAGAAGTGCTTACTAACAGAAATTTAGACAGGTTTGTGAACAATATTTAAGAGAAATAGGTCTTTATGTACATAGAAAAAGTCTTAGATCTTTGAGTTCAGCTCATGAAAAATGGAGGTAAAAACAAAAGTGTTGCGTTTATAAATTTATTAGTAATTAAGTTTGAACCTTTTTCTATTAATGTATTTTGAGCCTGTGGAAAACAGACCTTAAATCTAATTGTAATTTGTAAGAATCACGTACTGATTGAGCCGAATGGCCATTGAAAAGGCAGCCAAAGCAGAGAAACCCTTTAAGGAAGTTATAGACTCATCACTTGAATCCAGCCCATACACACAATAGGGAAAAGTTTGCTGCTCGGGGAAACTTACGAGTACTTATGACGCTGAGCATACCGGGCAAGGTCTGCATTCAAACATTCATCTTTTACATTTGTATTTCCAGAGAGGGATGTACATTTTAATAATTATGTAGTAAATTTTATGGCATTCTTTTATTTTTATATTTTTTTTATAAAACAATTGGCAAACATTGCACCCCATAGTCAAGGTGGAGTTTTACCATAAATGTATAAAGAAACAAGAAAGTTTCTGGAAATACAAATGTAAAAGATGAATGTTTGAATGCAGACCTTGCCCGGTATGCTCAGCGTCATAAGTACTCGTAAGTTTCCCCGAGCAGCAAACTTTTCCCTATTGTGTGTATGGGCTGGATTCAAGTGAATTATTACCACTTTTTATACATGAGTGTCGGGGCTCACTATAGGTGTCAGATCTCTTTAGTAATAAATGGTTGCCTTTTTTTTATTTTTAAATTCCAGTTTTATTGGTATTTCAAAACAGTAGGGGGGTACAGAAAAGAAATAGGGGGGTTATTCATAAGGGTAAGTTTCACATTATACAGAGATGCTTAGATGGTACAGGATTCACGGTACGTTACATATTACATATTACATATCAAGGTAGATCTATGCAGGTTATACATTGTTTGTGTTCAGAATAAATTCTAAACATTCCCACTCCCACCATCCCACTCCCAGCATGGCTTATCTCCTAGCTGGTGTCTACGATCATTAGTGTTGGTGTTCATGTATTGGGAAAGGTGTTTTTATGATCACCTAATAATGGGTTTTTGGGTTACAGGACTCTCTCGGGTTAGGTCCGTTCTCGAACTGCACCTTCCTTGTACTTTTATATATGTGATACTCTTGGTGTGGGTGTATGGAACTGGGATCCAGGGGTGGTCAGTGAACATGAAAGAAAGAAACTTTTGTTGGCTACAGTCAATTTTGCTTCTTTGCCCAGTATCTTAGCCAAGGTTCCCATATGCTCAGGTATCTGTCATTTTTGCCCAAGTGTGCCAGTGTAGATTTTCTATTTCTCTTGTATGTTCCACCCTTTCTACCCATTGACTTACTGTGGGGGTTACAGTTTATTTCCAATATATTGGTATAAGATTGTTAGCTTCTCCTAATAATAGCCATAACAGGTGTTGGCTCCTTTTGGTTCTGGAAAGTTTGAGGCCAACCCAATAGAACCTGGGATGGGGTGAGCTTGTGTGGGGAATTCAGGATATCATTGATTTTGGTTATTACTTCAGTCCAATATTGCTGTATTTGTGGACAAAACCCACCATATGTGCCCCATGGAGCCTATCTCTCCTTCGCACCTCCAACATTTGTCACTAATTGTTGGCCAGAACAGATGGAGTAAGTCTGGTGTCCTATACCACCTTGTGATACGCTTATAGAATGACTCTTGTCTGGATAGGCTGGTTTTGTGAAAATGTATGCCCAATCCTGGTGTGACATGTGTATACGGAGCTCTTTCATCCATTTTTGTTGGTATGTCAGAGTCTCCAGGTCATCATTGGATGATTGGAGCAGTTTGTATATTTGGGAGAGAGTGCTTGTGTTCGTGCATAGTTTCTTGAAGGGAGTC